GCACAGCGTCTGCAAATCGGAGCTGTACGAAGTCACTTTCATCTTTATACAGGACTGTAAGCTGTCATCTGTGAGGCGTGAGCGGCGTTTGTTTTGAACATAGTTCACGGTGGAGAACAGCTGCTGACATAATGTGGATCCGATCGATAATTAGCCTACCTGGGGTTGAAAGTCTTGATAAATGCACGGCGTTTCGGCGGGTATATCGGTTTCCGCAAGTGTGACGCTTATTTTGAGCGATCAAAAACTAATAGAATATAATTTTATATTTATATTTCAATATCACAGTAATCTTCCAATTTAGAACTACAAGTTAAAAAAAGAACTAACATAAATAAAATACACTTCAGCTAATTAAAAAAATAATTTATTTTCCCAAACCACGCGGAGCCGCACTAAAAGGATTAAAGAGCGGCATGCGGCTCCGGAGCCGCAGGTTGCCGACCTGACCGTTGTGTCATGGTCTTTAATTTTATTCTGTTGCAGACCAGTCAGAATACATCATCGTTCTTAATTTATCTCGAAATGAGTGCTATTGATGCTGGCAAGGTCATTGATTTCCATTTGAGAACTGACAATCTGTGATTCACAGTGAGGCAAAGAAGGCTCTAATTTGTGATAAATATGAACTTTATACTGAATGAATAACATCCAATGTTTACTGTCATCTTACAGCTTTGCTGTTATCTAACCAGTGTGCTTAGAAAGATATTTACCTTAATCATCCCGTAAATGTTGTGCTTATCTGAAAACCCTATTAATATGATCTCCATTTAAAAAAAAAAAAAAATGCTGAATAAAAAAATTTAAACCAGACAAACATTTCATCTACATGAAGAAACAACTTTTTTTTGCTGGCATTAAAAAAGTGAAGTTAGTCTTAAGATTTAAAGTTAGCAGCCAGCACAGAATGCTCATTAAAATTAAACCTGAAGGGAAGAGGAAAGAGAAGAATGTCGTCAGTAGTGTGATGACTTTAAATATTTTATTAACATTTTTGGCATATTTATCTGATTGCTTTAAGAGACGACAAGAAAATACAAAAAAGTGAATTTGATATGAAAGAAGAACATATATAAGAAGGGATGTGAGGGCAGGATAGGTCTGTTGCAACAGCTCCTGCTAGGCATGGTCACCAAAATGGTTTACAGTACAGGCTGATGTGACAGTATGCTAAACGTTATGTCAGCACACAAGTAGCAGCAATGGAGCATAATTAAATATTTGCTGACCAAAAAGAAACAAAAACATCTGGGATGCACAAGATCCATAAGAAGTTTCTGCCTAAAAACATCTACATGAATCAATTCCAACACCCGCATGGAGGCACTTGTTTGATATCTAAATGTGATCAATATTCTACTGTAAGGTGTTTTGACTTCACTGATTGACGGTGCAACTGCAGCTGATAAAAAGACCTAATTTACAGAACTGGAGATAAAATTAAAAACTTTAAATGGTGGCGTTATCAGCAAATGAAGACCCACTGCCATATTTTTATGAACATCTCACAACCTGTAACACAAATGCACCGTCTTCTGCTACAACTTAACTATCGGCAGAGGAAATGTAGAGATTTCTTATCAAAAGACTTTTGTAATAGATTATAGTGGAAAATAATGTGACGCAAGAAAAAAAAAAGGGTGAACATGAAAACGTTTGGCTGAATTCAAAGTACAGCCCAAGATAACATCACTGCAGAAAAAAAGACAACATATCATTTTCAAATTTGATTTTCAAATATACCTGAGAGCAGCAAGTAGTATTACAGTATGGCTTCTTTTTACACATTCAGATCTATAGGCCAACAGTCCAACTAGTGAGAAATTCACTTTATGCAAATATAAGGCCTTAATTCTTGCCCTGACAGAGTTTGATAACTGAGAATTGCTCTTCAGAGTTTTCCTTTGGAGACATTTGATATGCATTTCTAAAACACTTAATGATGATCCATAGAAAACACACTCAATATGAGGATTACATAATTTCCCCCCCCTGAAAACATCAGAAGTCTCCAATGAGTTTGGCATTTCTTTTCATTGATATAAACATCTGTGATTTTCTTGGTTGGTTGATGGAAAAAAGTAAAGAACATGTATGTAGTTACACTTTGACACCAAGCACTCAAGCATTCAAGGGAAGTGAATAAACAGGACTATGAACCTCATACTGTCACCCAAATCTATTTGAGCTTCTTCCTCTCACATGGTTTTGATTTTAATCATAGCAGATTTTCAAAAAAGGTAAACAGCACAGAGAGTTACAGAACATTTCTGCTTATTTAAACAGCTTTCAAAAACACAGCAATTAAAGGCCATTAAACAGTTTTGATGTAATTTCAACAAATTGCTATTAAATTTAATTATCTCATAACTGTCAAAGCATGTGGCTTGAACCGTTTCCACAAAATAGGCTGTAATGCCTCCATGTCAGAACAAGCACACATACCTACAAGGAATGGAGCAGCTAGTTTTTCCTGTAAACTCACTGTTCATTTAGTGCACAGCTGTTTCTTTGGAAGACTTTCTGAGCATTTTCTTTCTAAACTACGACTCTCACCACTGAGTGTCAGTAATTCACTGTAAGTAGGAAGAAGCAGCAGAGCTGTGAGGATAAGCTCAGGATGGCTGCAGGCTGTGAGAGTGCCATTTGCTGACATGCATTATTGCTGATAAGTAATTCATTTGTTAGCTCATGCTCTTTCTGGACTTTCACATTCATTATTCTGTTGAGCCTCTTTTTGACATTTTATGCCCTTTTTTAACTTTAAGATGTTTATGTATTATTGCTACAGCATTACTCCATATTCCTAAAAAATCTCAGATTATTTTAACAATTTTTTAAGATATAAAAATTTTAAAAAAGCTATTTTTTAGGCACATATTTAATATTAACTCATAATTCTTATAAAAGTTTTTGCCAGCATATTAACTTATTCTTCCAGCACGAGGGAGCCACACTCAGCTTCTACACTGGAATGACTTTTCCGGGAACATTCTGGAATTTGTTGATTTTTACCATCGGATCTCCAAAATGCACACAAGCTCATTCCCTTGTCCTTGCTCTAATCTCACCATTCAGCTCTCATTTCCTCCACCCTGCTCATCCACTGAGGGGGTGCAGGTCCACTCTGACCTTCTCCCCAGTGCTCATCATGCCAATGGTAGGATAGAAGCCTCCTACAGGTAAGGCCACTTCCCTCCGGCCCACCACTTTTCCATTCCGGGTGAAGAACACCTGAACAACAAAGAAAATATATTAAGACTATCTGCTGGGAAGATGGCATATACAGTACTGTGCAAAAGTTTTGAGCCACCCCTTATTTTTTTATATTTTGCTTCCATATGAGCCAGACTTTACTGCAGTTTCTTAAAGTGCTCTCCAGGCTTTCCAGAGTCTTTCAAAGTTTTTCTTTTTCTACTCTTATTCACTCTAGTCCTCGCACCTTACCATTTTCAGACAAGTTCAAGCAATAAAAAAGTGACCCTAACTCAAGGGATGAACCAGGGTTGTGCCTACACATAACAGATAGCTTAGAAAATAAATAGTTTCAAATGGTATCCTTTTGCACAAGAAAACTCTCACAAAAACACAACTTTTGCTCCCATTTTAGTTGAATCTACATAAAAATGCCAAAGATAACACAGTCTAACAGACATAAAATTGTATATTTGCATTTTTGTACCTACAGTGGTGTTCCCAAAGTGCCATTAGCTGAAAACGTGGCATATGCACTGTGTGTAGTATTTACTTAAAAAAATGAGCAGATTGTAGAGGATTAAAAAGGAAATAGCAGGTCTAAAAAATATCTACAGCAGATGACCAGTGTATGAAAGTCAAATCCTTAAGAAATAGGAGGAAAAAATCCAGTAAAGACCTGACACAGGACCTGAGAGATGCATCTGACCCTTCAACTGATCCATCTACTGTTCACTGAAACCTCAACAGAAACAGTCTCAGTGGAAGGGTCGCTGTCAAGAAGCCATTCTTACCCAAATTACACAAGAACTGGACTGAAAATCGGTGGCAACAGGTCTGAAGGAGTGATGAATCCAGATCATTTTTCAGCATGATAATGATCCCAAACACACTGCCATCTTATCACACTGTGATAAGAAAGAGTGCAGTAAAAGGGGATCATACCAAGTACTGACTTTCAAACTCATCAAAACTGTATAAATTCTGTTTTTTCCTTATATACTGTAAATTCATTTATGGCTTTATTGTTTTAATAAACTGCTGCACCTGTTTCCCATTTTCCTATTAAAACGTAAAGAAATGATTCGAATTTCCACACTGTGAAAGGATCTCACCATGACCTTCCTCTCCTCTGAATCTTCTCCCTCATCCTCATCCTCATCTTCATTGTTTGCATACAAATCATTGTGAACCTCAAAGGGCTTAGCAACCCCATCGAAGTCCCAGTCGTCGATCTCATCTGAAAGTACCCAGTAAGAAAGCAAGTCAGAGGCTGCACGTGTGAAGGCACTTTGAAAAACGTGCGAACAATATAAACACGTTCACCTCCGCCATCAATGCTGAAGTCACGCGGAAACATGATGCCGCAGCCCATGATGTCCCCTTCAAGGCAACGCGGCCCAAACGGGTCCCCGACCCCACTGCCGTGGAACAACTTCCCATCATCTATGAAGAACAACAAGGGATCTGATTACAACTTTATTCCACATTAACAAGAGTATTACATAATAAAGAAACAAATGCCGATATCAAGATATAAAACAACATCTCTCATCTGCCAACATGTAACAGTGAACAGTGTAAAGAAATATCCATCGTTCATTTTCCAAAGAAGTGATTCTGGACAAACACAGGGCCACTCCAGCAAGCAATTTAGAGTTTCCATTTGACCTGATCTGCATGATTTAGACTGTGGGAGGAAATCAGAGCAACCAGAGGAAACAGACATAGACATAAGGGAGATCATGCACCAATTACACTGAAACAATATCACTCTGAAGTTTACATCTTTTTCCAAGTGCTGGGAGTAAAATAGAGCTACTCAGGAATCAATCAGAAACATTACGTTAATACAACTTAAAGCAATGATCAGGAATAATAACCATTCAGCCCTTTTTAAGATCGCTGGAAACATTTGTTTGGTGCCATTTTCTGTGTCACTGATGGCAACACAATGATTGTGTCCACTACAAAAAACATTGTGACAATGGGACTCAAACATGGGCTTGATTGGAGTTCAGACAGTGACACCTAATCATCCACCATCAGGATCAGACTGAGCACTCTCACCTGCATGATAAGCTATGGACCCTCTGCTCCAACCCGGATGTCTGTTTTTTGGATAGTCCTGAAAATCAAAAAAGAAATTAGCTGTGGCTGATGATGGAATAAATTACTGCTAGGCTGATTGTTTTATTATATACATTTATTTCTCTAAGATGGGATGCTTATCATGACTTTTTTAGACATAATAGACGTCCTAAAGGTGCTGTTCAGAGATGCCCAGCAGAACTCTTGTACTGTTTACAATTATTCAAAGCTGCGAGGGATTCTTTTACCTGAAATAAAACCTGCCTGACGCTGATTTTATAGGTCTATGTTTAGCCTAAATTTAGGTGGTTAAAGTATCCGCACAAAGCCACGTACACAGAGCACTGGAGTGATTGTGTGCACAGTCACAGGTAGAGAAATCGCACGTTGCAGTGAAGAAGATAAGACTGGAACAATACCACAAGCAAGTAAATAGCAGACAGTGACACCAAAAGGAATGCACTATAAACAAGTGTTCCTTTATCCAACATAAGCAATGATTGAGCAACTAGTAACTTAAGCATTTGTTACCTTGAGATAGAGAGATAGAGAGAGAGAGAAAGAGAGACCCTTGTTTTGATTTTTGCAGCAAGAGGTAATACTTCCCATCAGCAGACTGATGCATCTCGCAGGAGATGACGGGGGATGGAACTTAACCTCAGGAATGACCGTTTGATGGATTTATAATGCTCCACTAAAACCGCAGACACACTGAGAAAAACAATTCCTGGAAAACAATCAGCACAATGACAGAGCTCTATTCTCCACGACGTCTGACCCGAGGGCACGGCGTGCCCACACACAGTAACTAACAGCAGAGGAGTGAGGGGGAGCTTAACGTCAAGGGTGTCTGCAACAGCAATCCATTACCTCCCAAGCTGAGAGCACCATCCCAGCTGGCAAAGCAGTGGTGCGATTATGAAGAGTGACGCTCAATCAATTAGCGTCCAATAACTAAGAACAGCGAGCACGAGCGAGCTGGCGGAGAACAACGACATCTGAGCCAAACTTCATTTCATATCACTCATTCAAATGATGCAATCGCTGCAGCCTGAGCAATTATTACAGTGTTTTATTTGTATTAAACAGGATGTGCACAGAGTTCACATGAGGCCAGAGGCAGTTTGTTTTATCTCTGATGTGTAAATATTTAACAGATCTAATTTAGTTTCAAAACACAGGACATCATTTTCCACTTATGTAGGATTTACTCCACATGAATGATCCTGGACGGACGGACGGACGGATAGATAGATAGATAGATAAGCCAGAGGAACTTGTGCAATCATTTTTTGCTAATCTACAATGATTGACTATTTGGAAATATAGAAGAAGTAGGACTAACTTTCCTATTCAGGAGGGCAGTCAGTAAACATGTTAGCATGCATATGGAACAACCTTCTATGGAAAACCAGATGTAGCGGTAAAATGAGACAATATTTATTCTGTTGTTAGCTTTTCCTCTTTCGGTCATCCATCACTTAGACTGGAAACAGTGAGAGCAGTGGGGCAAATGAGGGAGAGCGATGACGAGGTGTTAGAGGGGCAAAGAGAAGTTTTCTTTACTGACAGATAACCACGGTGTGTGTATAGTAAATTAACCCTTGTATCAATGTCAGTGACATGTGATCATTATCGTGATGACTGTAACGAGGAGCCTCTTACCCTGCGTGCCAGCCCCAGTGCAATATAACACTTCTCTCCAGCATCTGTGATCTCCAGCTCATAGTAGTGGAAGCGTGTGTTCAGAGGCCGACGGGCTTGAGCCAAGCCCACATCCACGATGCTCTTCCCTTTCCCTACGTACTCCAGCAGCTGCAGACATGACCCATCAGACATGTTAAACATGCACAGCTAGTAGGAGAAGTCATATAATATTGCATGCAGACATTACTTTGAGAACAGTATCAAGATGAATCTGATTAGGTAGCAAGGTACTTTATACCTTTAAATATGAAAAATGTGTCTATAGGTAATTTTAAAGGATAAAATAAACATGAAGTTGTATTTCACTCTTATACATAAATCCCCAAGCACCTAAACACAATTTCTGTCAATTCACCACATTCAGGATTTGGTGCTACAGCTGACTAGAGGCGAGTTACATTATCAAGCTTCCCTAGTGCTGCAGTTACATTATGTTTAAGCACATGGCATTATCTCAGAATCGAGTAACTAAAGTCCTGCCAGATTTCCAACGTAACTTCTGTTCTGCTAATCTCAAAAACACAGTGAGGTCCATATGAGGTCCAATGTTTCCCAAACAGCCATTTTAATACACAGTCCCTCACTTTAAGATGATAAATATTAATTTAGCATATCAAAGCAACACAATTATGAATACAAGGATTTTTTTTTCGAGGATGAAACCTCTTTGCAGTCTTGGACTGCCAGAAGTCTAGAAGCCATGGACCAAATGCCGTTTCCTTTCTTGAAATGCTCTGCCAGGCCTGAACTGCAGCCGCCTCCAGTTGCTGCTTGTTGTCTCTGCATTAAGTTAATACATTTCTTTGCCTTATGAAACTTTTGGGTTACTTCTGCAGTATGGTCATTATCCGTATCCTTCAGAATTGATCCTTTTACTTCTATCAGCAGTCAGATTATCAATAAACCCTCTCTATTTACATTCAAGTGTCTCCTGACTGTAGACTTACGTCCTCGAAAGTGTTCTTCACTTGGCTAGATGTTGATGTTGTTTTTCTTAAACATGGATATAATTCTGTCATCATGTACTTTAGTTATCTTTGGTGGCCTTTCAGGCTTTCTGGTGTTGCTGAGCTGGTCATTCCTTCTTTTTAAGAATGTACTGTTGATTTTGGCCTCTCCTGAAGTTTTTTTTCCCATTTCTCTGCCATCTATTTTGGATTTTCAACCCAACAATGGTCTCCCTCACTTGTGCTGCCATGTCCCTGGACCTTGTATTGAGAATTTCAGAGAACAGATACAAAATGCAAATTCATCTGCGTTATATATTTTGAATATTGAGTGAACAGACTTCACCCGGCCATAAAACGGTTTATCAGTCCAATTACTTTTGTGCCTCTGTAAATGAGGGACCATGTAGAAAATGGTATGGTTAATGCCACATTTTTGCTAAACCCCTTGAATTAAATCTGAAAATCTGCACTTCACAACATCTTGGTTGTTTTGTTTATAACAGTTGTTTGTTACAAAGACCAAAATTACATAACAAAAACGTGTTACTGTCCAAAAACATGGACCTACCTTTACATGAATCACTACTTTCAGAATTTATTGCAAAAGCTTTGGAAGCCTACAGAGATTACTGAGACGTTCCAAAATAATTTCTCCAATAGTTGAATTTAAACAGCGTTGCTTTAGTCAAGTGGGTGGTCAGTCAAATTGCATGTGTAACTCTGACAGCTTAAAAGACAAAACTGGAGAAAGAAAGTTTATCCGAATGATTATAACCACTACATTATATTTGACTGCTAGTGCAAGCATGTCTGATTCTGCACCAGCTTGATTACAGCTTCTGTTTCAGGTTGCTATAAACATTCGCTAAAGAGAGAGCATGTTTCCATCTAACATTAATGCAAGAAGAAACCAGTGTTACACGAACCAGTCAAGCTAAAGTTCATATCCATATCTAAGACCTTTGACCTTTTGGATATGAAACACTACCTCTTATTTTATCTTGGAAATTTTGTTAGAATTACTGAGGCCAAGTGAACATCTATACCAATACCTTCATGAAATTCCCAAAGGGTATTCAGAGCTGGCTGATGGACGAGCTGAAAACTTAACGCTTCGGTTGTCGCTGGTAAAACCCAGGCTGCAACGCTGTGCGTATCTTTCTTTCTATGACAGAAATTAATTTGTCATCTATGCATTTAACTGTCTGGGTACGAAACAGGGGCTGCCCTGTTTCGGGGGGGCTGCCCTGTTTTGTACATGCAGCCAAGAAACTCAGCCCTACTAATTTCATTCTCTCTCCACAGGACCCATTAAAATGTCATCAGAGCAGATGAGGACATGTGCACATAATATGACCATCTGAAGATACCTTCATTAGTTAAAAAAGCCAGAAGTGCTCTGCCTAAAATCTCATTAAAAATAAAACAGTTACCCAGTGAACTCCTTTTTGTTTTTGTCACAACGAACAAGTGGGATTAAATTTTTATTATGATGCCATTTTGCATTCTTAAATCTTATCTAATTTATTATTTGTTAAATCAGTATTTACCCCTGATTAAGTTCTGGAGAAGTTGAATTTTTTTTGTTCTTCTTTTTTTCCCCTCACAGCTATCATCTGGATTACAGCTGCTAGTTAATCATTCAGTAACCTATAAATACCTGTGCCGATTTCAGCTCATGACAATATTGAACTTGATGATATAATATTGTTGTGAAAAACAAAAATGAGATTCAAGTAGATAAAGAAACCCAAACATCTGAGGAATTAGTTCTGATTGAATACAATCTTAAAAGTCCTGCGGCATTCTTACTGATACCACTGGCAATGATCCACTGTTGCTGTTGTCAGTAGCAACAAAATAAAGTGAGTAACAGAATGATACTAACGTGACACATAATACCAACAACTCCATACCTACTGCAGTAAAGCAAAAGCAAGACCCAGCAGCAGACAGACATGTGCCACAGCGGATGTCTGTCTGCGTGCCCACACACAGCCATTCAACTTTTGTTGAATCAAATCTAAATGTCTGCACCAACATTGTGCCTTTGTTTAAAAAACATATGGACCTCACTGTGTTTTTGAGATTAGCAGAACAGAAGTTACATTGGAAATCTGGCAGGACTTTAGTTACTCGATTCTGAGATAATGCCATGTGCTTAAACATAATGTAACTGCAGCACTAGGGAAGCTTGATAACTGCCCATCTGTATATGGAGATTCACATAGAATGGCTTTAATTTAAGATAAAGGTTGATCATCTCAGTCTTTTATAGTTAGTCTCACTAATGCATGCGCATGTTAACCCATTTAGGTATTTGCTAAGCAACATGAAGACATCGCAAGATATTGTTCATATTTTGATTTTTGTGGCTAAAATGAGAAATTACTGTCACTAAATAAAAATGATATGATGCTTTTAGAAGGTGTTGTAAGTACATAAATGCTACAAATGGGTCACTTTATCACACTGACAGGTGGTTGCTAGGCTCTTTGATAACATCTGATATAGATAAGAATATTTAGGGACCTAAGCTGTGCCTGTGTGCTGATTCTGATTGCTCAACTATTGATTGTGTAAGAGAAGTTCACAAACATATATTATATTCAGACTCTATAAAGCTAAAAAGTATTGCTATAGACCTAGGATGCATAATCAAAACGATGAATCCTTGCAATGCTGTGTGTGAAATCCTCAAGAGGCTTAGCCTTTTGCCAAAGGACCATAACATTTTTTTTCTTAAAGACCTGTCTGGTTAAATAAATTAAAAAAGAACTTTTAAGTTAAAACTCATTGTTCTTTTGGCATCCTAGTGCCATCCTTAATTTGTGTTCCTGAAGGTCAGGCTGGCTGTTCATGCTGCAGCTTGCAGGCCCTGCACTTACACAGGAGAGGGCCATGTTTTTAGAAATAATGGATAAACAAATGTGC